ATCTGGCTGGATCTGGCTAGATCTGGCTGGATCTGGCTGGATCTGGTTGGCTCTCGTTGGATCTGATCTGATGAATCAGGTAGAATCTGGCTGGATTTGGCCGGATCTGAATTGCTTTGGCAAAGATCTGGCTGGATCTGGCTAGATCTGGCTGGATCTGAATTGATTAAATTTAATGGTATCTGGCCGAAATCTGGCCAGATCTGGCTGGATCTGGTCAGGTCTGGCTGGATCTTGCTGGATCTGGCTGGATGTGCTTGGATTTCGTTCGACTGATTAAATCTGGTTGGATCTGCGGCCAGATCTTGCTAGTGGCCGGATCTGGCTGGATCTGGCTAGATCTGGGTGGATCTGATCTAATTCAATATGGCTGTATCTGGCCAGATCTGGCTGTATCTGGCCAGATCTGGCTGGATCTGGCTGGGTCTGATCTAATTCAATAAGGCTGTGTCTGGCTTAGATCTGGCCAGATTTGGTTGGATCTGGCTCAGATCTGGCCAGATCTGGTTGGGTTAGCTCTGGCTGGATCTGGTTGGATCTCTTTCGAGCTGATTGGACTAAATGTGGGTGGATCTGGCTAGATCTAGATGGATGTGGCTGGATCTGGCTGGATCTGGCCGGCTCTGGCCGGATCTGGCTGGATCTGGTTGGCTCTCGTTGGATCTGATCTGATGAATCAGGTTGAATCTGGCTAGATCTGGCTGGATTTGGCCGGATCTGAATTGCTTTGGCAAAGATCTCGCTGGATCTGGCTGGATCTGGCTAGATCTGGCTGGATCTGAATTGATTAAATTTAATGGTATCTGGCCGAAATCTGGCCAGATCTGGCTGGATCTGGTCAGGTCTGGCTGGATCTGGCCGGATCTGGCTGGCTGGCTGGATCTGATCTAATTCAATATGGCTGTATCTGGCCAGATCTGGCTGGATCTGGCTGGGTCTGATTCAACAAGGCTGTGTCTGGCTTAGATCTGGCCAGATTTGGTTGGATCTGGCTGAGATCTGGCCAGATCTGGTTGGGTTAGCTCTGGCTGGATCTGGTTGGATCTCTTTCGAGCTGATTGGACTAAATGTGGGTGGATCTGGCTAGATCTAGATGGATGTGGCTGGATCTGGCTGGATCTGGCCGGCTCTGGCCGGATCTGGCTGGATCTGGTTGGCTCTCGTTAGATCTGATCTGATGAATCAGGTTGAATCTGGCTAGATCTGGCTGGATTTGGCCGGATCTGAATTGCTTTGGCAAAGATCTGGCTGGATCTGGCTAGATCTGGCTGGATCTGAATTGATTAGATTTAATGGTATCTATGATCTGGCTGGATCTGGTCAGGTCTGGCTGGATCTGGTCAGGTCTGGCTGGATGTGCTTGGATTTCGTTCGACTGATTAAATCTGGTTGGATCTGCCGCTAGATCTTGCTAGTGGCCGGATCTGGCTGGATCTGGCTAGATCTGGGTGGATCTGGCCAGATCTGGCCGGATCTGGCTGGATCTGGCTGGATCTGATCTAATTCAATATGGCTGTATCTGGCCAGATCTGGCTGGATCTGGCTGGGTGATCTAATTCAACAAGGCTGTGTCTGGCTTAGATCTGGCCAGATTTGGTTGGATCTGGCTGAGATCTGGCCAGATCTGGTTGGGTTAGCTCTGGCTGGATCTGGTTGGATCTCTTTCGAGCTGATTGGACTAAATGTGGGTGGATCTGGCTAGATCTAGATGGATGTGGCTGGATCTGGCTGGATCTGGCCGGCTCTGGCCGGATCTGGCTGGATCTTGTTGGATCTGATCTGATTAAATCTGGCTGGATCTGGCCGGAACTGGCTGAATCTGGCTGAGATCTAGCCAGATCTGCTTGGATCTCATTGGATCTGATCTGATCTGATTAAATCTGGCTGTATCTGGCCGAGATTTCGATCTCTTTGCCTCTGATCTCAAACCCGGCCGGATAAAGCTTGACCAAGCTGACGGGTTTCGTTTAATTTAAAGACTTGGCTTTATCCAAGTTTGATTTTGCTGATTCACCGAGGTTTCCTCACGGTCTTGGGCTTGGAAAATGGCACTGCTTTGAGCGACGATGCGAAGAAAGCGGTGGAGTGGATTTGCAAGGCGAAAAGCAGCGTGGGGAAGCTGGTGGCGAAGCATGTGAAAAACCTGCAAGACTTGCAGAAGCAGCTGGCTGAAGAGAGCGTGGATGAAGTGAAGGAAGCCACACGTGCTGAGGTTCTGAGCATGCTAAGTCACATCAGTGAAAAGGAGAAAAAGGATCTCTTCAGCGTGGTGCCTGCCTTGGTGGCGAAAGCGCGCATGTGTGAGCCGCATGACCTAGAGCTTGCAGGCAAACTTGCGTCTGCAGAGGATTTTTTCTTGGACTTCTTAGACACTGAGCTGACGGCGGCCATGGATTCACTCAAACATGAAGATGCTGAGGCAGCACCTCTGTGTTTGGTGACTGACTGGGGTTGGACAAGGGAAAGTACGCGCAAGCTGCAAGGCCAATACAAGTCTGCAACAGCGTTTGTCCAGATTTACCGCAAAGTCAATCGGAAGGATGGCCCTGACCTGGCGCAATTCTGTGGGTTGTCACAGCTTCTCTCAACACTTCCCATGCCGTTTCAAGAGGAGAAAAGGATGGTGGAGGAGTGGGCTGCCCAGTTGGAGTCTCGGTATGAAAGCCAGACAGCAGCATAGATTTGATTCTGAAGGTGGCGCAAGGAGAGGCACCTCCACACAGTCTTAATCTTTCTGTCCTTCACAAGTTGGAGACACAATCAATGGGAAGTTCAATGAAAACGCTCAGCCAGTGGTTTGAAGCTCATGGGGCGGTCAATGACAACATGGCCGCAAGCCACCTGTGGTGACTGTGCGAGCGCTGATGAAGGAGCCCATGAACATCAGGTGCGATTCCGAAGATGGGGTGAGCACTTTCAAAGTTTTCGCTTCCTTGGACATTGACAGAAGTGGAACTCAGAAGCTCCCAACCATGGGGGTTTGCTCATGGTGCGATGTGAACAATGAGCTGATGAGTCCAGGGCATTGCCAAGGAGGTCAGCTCGGAACCATCCTTCTTCAGAAGATGGGCTGTTTGGAGAAGGATAGGCTTCTGTGTTTTTTTCAGCCATTGTTTTGAAAATATTTGCTTGAAGGTGTGGTGTGCTGACTTTTGCAGAACTTAGGAGATGCACAACAACCTCCACAAGCAGTGCATGAAGGCTTACGAAGAATTTGCCGATGTGCTGCTCAGCTCGAAAGTGTTGGACATGACGTTTTGTTGAAGCTGGCCAGCTTGCTTGGTGGCGTGCAAGTTTTTCAAAAGAGCTAGCTGCCAGCTTGCTTGCCGGCGTGCCAGCTTTTTTGCGAAAGCTGGCTGCCAGCTTGCTCGGTGGCGTGCCAGTCTTTTGAAAGAGTTGGCTGCCAGCTTGCTTGCCGCCGTGCCAGCTTTTTTGCGAAAGCTGGCTGCCAGCTTGCTCGGTGGCGTGCCAGTCTTTTGAAAGAGTTGGCTGCCAGCTTGCTTGCCGCCGTGCCAGCTTTTTTGCGAAAGCTGGCTGCCAGCTTGCTCGGTGGCGTGCCAGTTTTTGGAAAGAGCTGGCTGCCAGCTTGCTCGGTGGCGTGCCAGCTTTTTTGCGAAAGCTGGCTGCCAGCTTGCTCAGTGGCAAGCCAGTCTTTTGAAAGAGTTGGCTGCCAGCTTGCTTGCTTGTGTGCCAGCTTTTCAAAAGAGCTGGCTGCCAGCTTGCTCGGCGGCGTGCCAGCTCTTTTGCGAAAGCTGGCTGCCAGCTTGCTTGGTGGCGTGCCAATTTTTCATTAGAGCTGGCTGCCAGCATTGCTTGGTGGCGTGCTAGTTTTTTTTACAAGAGTTGGCTGCCAGCTTGCGCGCGGATGGGTCATGTTTAACAGATAATTTTTCTAGCCGGAACCCATTCATAATTGTAAGAAAATTCACGTTGTCACTGGACCAAGGACGCGAAAAGCGAAGGAAGAAGTGGTGAAGTGGCTGAAGACAGAAGATCCGACTTTTGCGGAGCTCCGCATCAACTTGAAGGAGTTGGGACCGAAACTTGAAATGATGGCGAAGTTTCATTCCGAAATGGCCAAGTTGACCGAAGGTTTGCCCAAGGAATATGTAGCACTCACGACCAAAGGTGCCTCTGAGAGCCTGTCTATCATGGCAGGGGTCCTTTGTGCTGCCAGTTGGCAAGAAATTTTGGGCATGCCAGAGGGGAAGGCCCAATTTGACGCCGCATCTGCCGCTCTCACCAGCCATGTTCTTTGGTCAAGAAAGAAATGCAAGCAAAGTGGTTACAACCCAAGCAACCCTCTTATCCTCTTGGCAAGCATCAGAAAAAACAGGTGAGAACATCCCTTTTACACAGGCAGTACTCCCAGAAAAGGTCTGATAGATGGTACATGTAGGGTTGCGCTATCTTCAGGCATACAGTATGTGCTATTTTCGGGTAAATTTTGGGAAAGGATTTTTTCACTGTTAAATACATTACATGGCGCAACCACCTCTGAAAAGCTGGGGCAGAGCCAAGCACTTGCACAACGGAGTAACTCTAGCCAGCAACAAGGGGTACTATGTGACACATGTTGCATAGGTACCCCTATGTGTACTTACAACCTCAGCTGGAATTAGAATAAGGCAAAGTCCATAAAAAGAAGCACCGAATCAAATCTGGCCAGCCAGATTTGGTTCCGAACAGAGTCTATCAAACCATATGGCAAGAAAACCATCAACGCATGCCCCAAAATTGCCATTTTGATGAGAAAATGCTAATCAACTATTAAATGTGGGGGTGCCCTCCGTTCAAACAAACCTATATTAGCAGCACCCCAGTACAAATGAACCCTGCCGGTCGGACAGGACGGCTTGATCTTTGGACTCAATCCTAGCCAACAACTGCTGATGCCAACCACCAGCTGATACGATTGGCAGTTGAACCCCAAATTCTCTATCCACCTGATAGCAGGTGTCAAAACATCACCCAGCCCAATTTCTGTATAAAAAAGGAACGGGATCTGGTAAGGTAGTTTGTAGTCCAATAGCGGCTTGATGTAACCTGGACCATGAGTCGGAAGATGTCGGAAGATGTCGGAAGATGTCGGAAGATGTCGGAAGATGTCGGAAGATGTCGGAAGATGTCGGAAGGGACGCTAGCCGAGTTTGCTTCCCACTTCCAAGTGTTGAGTCAGTGTTGACATTGATTTCGCAAAGTCTGAAAAGTCTCTGGAGGATTTTACACATCTCTGTGGATAGAGGGCCAGGGATTGCTGCAGTTTTATTTTAAGATTGAAGGCCTACTCTGGGAGGCTGGTAGACACGTCAAGACGAGGAACAAACGTTGAGATTCCGCATCATCGAAGACCAAGCTCTTTCTGATCACAAATACTGTGTGTTTTGACCGTATTAACAAACATGTTTTCATCATCATCATCATCATCATCATCATCATCATCATCGCGGGCATCAACGTCTTATAATTCTCTCCTCCTCCTTCTCTCCAAACCTGTCGCTGCCGTGCCTGTAAAGCCGACCCGAGAATTTGCTACTCTGCTTTCGGTCTGGGTGATCACCTCCTTGGCAAAAGAAGCTCACTGGTGGCAGTCGTATCATGCAATTCTTGGAATGTGATTTTGAAAGTGTAAGCCGCTGTACGCCTTGCAATTCGTGGCTTTCAGACGCTTTCAGACGCTTTCAGACGCTTTCAGACACTTTCAGAGGCTTTCAGCAGAGGCTTTCAGCAGAGGCTTTCAGCAAAGGCTTTCAGCAGAGGCTTTCAGCAAAGGCTTTCAGCAGAGGCTTTCAGCAGAGGCTTTCAGAGGCTTTCAGTATTTGGGGGCCCCTTTTTCTCTCCATTTCCTGCGACCCGTCATGGCCCATCCAGGCGCTCCTCCTCTTCCTCGATGTGCTCCCTGAAGAGTGCCGGCTGCCGGATCCGAAGACTGTCGGCCACCAAGGATCGTCGACTGCCCCAGGCCGCCTCGATTTGGCACTCGGCCAAAGGCGCATGACGCAAGACCTGCTGCTTGGCCCAGGCGCTGCTGTCGATGCCAAGTTGTTCCAAGTACCTCAAGGCATAAAAAATCTTTAAAAATCATAAGAAATCCTCGCATTCTTTGTAAGCAAAGGATGGCAAAGGACTAAATAGGACTACTGGCAATAAATTGATGTAAATAGATGTGAATCGTAACATTTTCCAGCCTTGGAATTGTATCAAGCGCGCAGTTACCCTTGCTGTTCTGCAATTTGTGTGAAATGTTGGTGCGAGGCATGATAGTGCTCCAGCAAAGGCTCTGACGACCTGAAACCTTGGAGAGTAAATGGAACGAGTAACGGGATTATGCACTTCTCCTGGACAAAGCTTTTCGAACTGGCCAACTTGCGGATGAAATCAATTGGAACATATTGGAACTATTTGAGATCCCCATTAATTTATATTTATTTGAGTTGCAAAATATGGGTTTGTCTGAAAATATGGTATATTCCCAATTATAGCCATTTAATAGGGATAATGATCATTAACCATTGGGATTAGGGGTACACTATTTTCAGACACACCCATATGCAAAGGTTGATGATGTTTTTCTGTGTTGATCGCGCCGGTCGGCCTATCAGCATAGGCTTGGCCAATGACCTTGACGCATTCGCCTTTGCTGGGGATGTGCTTGGCCTGGGCAGGGAAGATACCGAACCCGCTACGGGAGATTCGTGGCTTTGAAGTCATGGAATGCCATGGACAGCAGAGCTGTCACGGAAGAAAGTGCGGGTGTGTATAGCTTGAAGTTCGGTCAATTCATGCCCATTCGATTCATTCCTTCATCCTGCTTCGTCCCAAAGAAAATTGGTGGTCATCCCAAAGAGCTCCGTCTCCTCGTCAAAAGAGGCCAGCTGTATCTCAATGTCATGCATGGTGCCATGGCTCATCACCGGCAACGAGATCACAACACAGCTGGATCCGCTGCTCAAGATGTCATGCTTCGCTTGGGTATATACGGTATAGGTTTGTCTGCCGTTGGGCCTGCAATCCTTCCATGCTGTGTACTTCGTCCATCATGAATCCTCCACATGCTTCCCTTAAGCTGTAAATGGCTCGAAATGTAGATATCAGCATAGCTTCAACTTTGATTTACCCATCTCAGGGTGAAGGCATCCACAATAATAACCGCTGCACACATGGATCGGAAAACACTATGGTTTTCTTGCGTCAGCTTTCCTAATCTACTTGACTTCAGAGTTGCACAGGTTACAAAAGGGTACACGAACAGCGTGTACGCAAGACCCCAGTGCTGTCCTTATGTCGACAAAGGACAGCTCCATAGAGGCCGCACTTCATACCTGCAACTTTAGATGGCCCATGATGGCCCTACCAAATTGCCGGTCACCCCATTAGCTCATGACATGTCATGACAACAGACTCGCAGATCCTCCTCCGATCCATCGACTGTGCCAATTGGATCCTTAACCCAGGCTGAAGTGGCCTCTGTTAAATCGATAGGTGTTGTGGGAGACCGCGAACCTGCACCACATCACGAAGAATGCGATAGCTTAGCTGTTGGTTGGAATGCTCATCTATATTGCCACATATTGCCACGCAAATTCTAGACTGCTTATGATTGAAATTGATATCTATAATTATTTCAATAATTTTCAATATGTTGCCGTCCTTTTGAAATTTTGTAGAAGAACTGGTGGCAACAGAAATCAGAAAAATCCCCCACTGGGGAGCTCCGACGCCAAATTTAGCAAGTTCTCGTCCTCCGAAAATCGTGCATCCCACGACCTAGAGGTGACAAAGCAAATGATCAGGGTATGGTGAAGGGGATCTCAAGTTGATTGGAAATGCCAGTTCCAATTCAAAAAATGATCAAAAATGTGTTTACCTCCTGACATGCGAAGTATCTTGGCAGTTTCAGTTAACTGAACAGCCGACAGAGCTGCAAATCGTTCTCAGCTTCGGGCCAATCAAAATCCTGACAGGGTCCCAAGAATCATATATAAATAAATCTCTGCATCACAACTTCAGCCAGCTGCAACCTCAAAAACTGCTTCCAATATTCAATTCAAAACTATAGAAGAAAAGCTGCGCCAAACGCCTACAATCTCATCATGCCCGTTGATTTATTGTTCAAGAACATCCTGACCAAGAGTATGATGCTGATTGCTCCCATTTGGGGAAGCTGTTTCTCATTGATCACCCAATGGAGGCGACATATCCAGCATCATCTTGGTCGAATCGGTCGATCTCTGAACCACCGAGAGCCCCATGGGGCCCATGGGCCCATGCCTCAATGTGACCCCAGAAATCATCATCACCTCCACGAGCCTGGCGCTGTGGTTATAGTTGTGGTTGGCTGCGATTTTTACGGTATTTGTAGGTGTATGAAATCTGATGAACGATACGTAATGATGATGAGGATGATGATCGCAGTGATCCTAGTAATCCTAGCCAATTGTTCCATCGTTTCCAACCACTTGTTCGAAAGTGTGATGAATTCCTAATGTGCAGAGGCCGTTTGAGAAATGCAATGCCAGCGGACCGTCGCTTCCCAGCACAACGGAGGTGGTCGCGTTGGTCGAAATCTTCTAGAGAGAAAGTGCCTCCGCTTGGCCGAGAATCCTCCACTGTGAAGCCACTTCTGCATCGTCTGATAGGGATTGATAAGAATTCATGAGTGATATATTTGAGAAGTCCCAGACAGCTTTCAATCAGGTCAGTTTCCCTGGAATAACGCTTAAATACTCTGAACAGCCCTGAACAGCCATCGTTGATGATAATACCTTATCGAAGCCTCAATGGCTGCAGCAAGCTGGCGTGATAGGCGCACCATTTTGCAAGCAAGGCCGGATTGAAGGCTTCTGCACCCAAAGTGGCCAGGACCGCTGTATTTGGATCTCGTGCATGCTTTTGGAACAACTAGGTAGTCTTAGAGGGAGAATACACGTGTGCATACATATCCAATCATAATAAATCATATAATAATATACATATACATACTATATACATTGATACTGTATACATATGTATACATACTATCACATACTGTGTACAGGTGATGGTAGATGAGACTATTGGAGTTCAAATAGATACGATGGTTGGATGTAGACTGCATGCAGATCGCCATCCGGTAAGTGGAATACAGGTGGAACATGCATTTGGATCATTTGGGCCACCAAACATCCTCCAACTGCTTCAGAGTCTGACTTTTTTGGTCCAGATCTTTCACCCTGTCTTCCCAAACTCCCCACATTGACCTGCGATCTACTGCGATCTATTAAGATTATTAAGCCATATTAAGCCACTTGAGCTTTGGTCTTGGAACTGGCCAAGGGGTACATGACAGGCTCACATTTCGCATCGTTTCCATCACCCTGTCGATCCGATTGAATCCAATTGGACTCGAATCGTATATCAGCATTGTTACGGCATTGTTACAGCATGGCATGACAGCTGGGCGATGGAGGGCATTGCCAAAAAGTTTGCCGCCTTCGTTGAGAGGCAAACGTGCCGAGGCAATCAGAAGTAATTCCGGATTAGATTCGTTGGATGTAATTCCCGCCTGTCCAGTGGGCGTAGGTGCATCGCCGTATCTTGGCGATTTGATGTACTGCTGCAGGGGTTTCAGGATTACAAACACTGCCACGAGTGGCTCCACATTGAATCCCTTTTTGATCCTTTTTGTGCAGGTGAAATTACAACTTATCTGCAGCGACTCTTCCAAAGTGTAGGTTTGGAGGGAATACATAGAAGCTATTAGACAATGTGTCTCATCAAATATGTCCCGACGTAGCAACAAAAACAGCATCAAGCAACAAACGGCAGACATGGATCTTCCATGATGGAGTTCGTCGTTAAAATATGCCCTGACTCATGTAGCTTGGGGAACTGAGAACTGTGTTCATCAAGATCTTCGAAACTTGGGCTCGTGCTGCAAGATCTGAGGTATCTGCAGTATCCTACGGTATCCGAAAACAGATTTGCGTGGACAGAACACTGAGCCCAACATCGGGGATGCATCTCTAAATCATGATATAAATCCAAGCTAAACATAAGTGGGTTAAGTGATGTTAAGTGATGTTAAGTGGGTAGCAACATGTAGCAACGTGTAGCAACTAGGTAGATCTAGGTAGTAGGCCTTAGTAGGCACAAGGTAGATGGCTGATGATGGCTGTCACCTCGTCACCACATCCTGTGACCATTTCAGGCCCAAGTGTGGGACACCACCACCACTGGACGCGTCACTTGCAGCAGCTTCGTCATGTGAACCGTAAAATCCGTAAATAGCACGCAGCAAAGGTATGCAAAGGCTCATGCCAAGGTTGCAAAAAGGGCAAGTTCAACGGAAAGTTCTCTTGCTCTTGCCAGAATGGCTGTGTTCTTGAAACTTGGTTGCACCAAGCAATCCCCAGTCAGCCTTGGGTACGAGGATGATACTTGATGTGGCTTTTTGTATGTCACATGTTTCTTTGGTTCCTCCTGAACTTCCAACATAGCAAAGACTAAAATAGTTTGAGCACAACGACACAAAGACCTCTTGGCATTGGTCAAACGGGTTGCTAATCCCTGATGTGTAGGCGGCGGCTTTGAGATCATTTGAAATAATTACCCATTTCAGGCCCTTGGGCCGTTGGGCCCTTGATCAGGAGGACCTTTTGCTGCGCATTGTCTCTCAGAATTGTTCACTGTCGCGCCACAACTTGGCCCACGGAAACTACCTGATCAGTGGTGCAAAGTCGCCAAGAACTTGGAAACTTTGGAAACTACCCACCTGAAAATGGCCATTCAGAAAATTAAAAAGGCCATGGCCATGGCTTGTGGTGGGATGTCATGGCACTTGAATCTCAGGATTTCCCATGAGACGCTTCCTTGCCTGGGTCACCGGGTCCGCATCACCCTTCACCTCGTGAAACATCTGAAGGCTGACCCAGTGTCCGTTTCTGTGCACAACATGGCATCTGCCAGGTGAAATCTGTGAAATCTATCTAATGAGCATGTCAATGTGTGGCTGAGAACTATGTCAACAGATGTCAACAGCATTGTTTTGATGAATCGATTGGTACTTTGGAATTGACGAACTGACCAAGGCCCTGACTCGTTGAAGGCCTGGTTTTGAGGCAATTCGACATGATTTGGTGCCACACCTGCTACCCTTAGCACCCTTGGAATCTCTTGGGGCCAATCACCACTTTTTACCACTTTCTCTTTAAGCATCGACCCTTTGGGCAAGAGAGCAACTCTGGCGACTCAAGATGCAAATCCATTTTTAGCTGCATAATGCATTCGTACATAAGTATTGATAAGTATTCATAAGTATTCATAATGTACATGTGAGTATTCATACATTCTTTCGAATATGTCATTCATACCATTTCAAAAAAAAAAAATGGACATCTTCGAAAGTCAGAGTCAGGGAGAGTCCATGTGAGTCCATGTCGCCGGTGTCGAGAGACACGAGGCCGGTGTCTCCCTCGACGAACCTCAGACTCTTCGTCATCAATCAAGACCTGATGGACCTGGCTCGGAAATGTGTTACTCAAGGTGCGATGCCTAAATCAAATACATTTTATGATGATATGTCTATATATTTCTCATATCTAAGTTATCTAAATTGTCAGTGTGCGATTTGTAACTCAAGCTGTGGGAGATGCCAATTTCCATCTATCTGCGCTGACCAAAATCACGGCCATTAATTTGGTTAAAGGAGCACTCATCTAGCGGCCTTCAACATATCTGCTTCTGTGCCTAATCCACCTTGGAAGGCCCCTGCTTCGAAAGTTGTCACACTCAACACCGTAGAAGAATCATAGATAATCTGACCAAAATCAAAACATAGTATGGCCATATACTGTACACATCATCTTGATCTTCGGGAGCGTTGGAATTGGGTATACAAGCCGAAATGTTTCAGGGGATAATAGGATCCCTGCAAAGATGCCACGATCTCAAAAGAGTGCCATGGCTAGAGTTTTTGTTTTTTGTAGGGTATATGAGGCATCACCTTAGCTCTTGACAATGGCATCATGTGTTTTGCTTCGGTGATCCCATGTCCCATGTGAACCCATGGCCTCCTGATTGGAACGGGTCAAGAAGCGGATGCCGCGAACGGCCATCATGACAGAGAGCGAGAAAGCTCCTCCGATGGGACTTTTGAAAGCGATATGGAGAATGTCTCAATATTGGACTCAACCCCTACAACTTCCCACAACCATAAAAATATATACTTTCGAAGAGAAGGTTTAGGGTTTGCACTTTGCATCTGCAAAAATGAGGCGAAGTCACCAGTCGCCAAGTCCTGCCATAGCTCCCATGACCACCAAGCCGTGGTAATTGATTCCAGCCTGAACAGGCTCACAGGTCATGTGGAACCTTTGTTCGACGTCGAAATGCAGAGATCACTGAGCCTTGGGGACATACTCCTCTTCCTCATAGAGGCGGCTGAAGCCACCCACCTGAGAAAAAAAAACGACAGGCTTCCCAACGTGTGATTCATCAAACTATACTAATTACATGTATATATGCAACAGGTGTAACATGTTTGTATATCATATTATTTAATTATCTGCATGTACCTGTGTACAAAGTCCACGTGTTTATATCATATAAAACACATGTGTGCAAGTATGTGTATGTTTGCAAATGCGTGTATGTGGTTGTGCCCGTATGTGCACATCTGCATATGTAGGTATTAAGGTAAGTCCGTGTATGTGTGTGCGCGCGCATGTGTGTGTGTGCGTAATTGTTTATGTGTATTGTCAATGCAATGTAATGTAGGTGCGTCTTAAAATGGGTTATACATGTAAAAAAGAGCTATTTTTAGAGGAAACGATGATAAACCAATGGATTTAGCGGTACCATATTTTGAGACAAAGCCATGAAATGCATCCAATATCATCCAATCCATCCCTTGGTGCCAGACCATATTCGCTGCCGTATTCATGGCACCACCCACGCCAGAGACGCACCTTTATGGGCGGGACGGATGCGTCTGAAATTGGAACCCGCCAAGTGGACATTTCATGGAAAAAATCTGAAAAAATCTGGAAACATGATGATCCATTGGAATTAGGGGGTACCCCAATAGACAAACACACATTCGCACTGCAACCAACTTAGAATTGCGGGATGCTACCCCCACCATGAACTGCCATGTCGCAAACCAACCATAATGGCGAGATATGACCAACCATGGCCGGGCCTCTTATCAAAAGAATCGGAGCATTTTTCGAAGTTACAAATGAACAAAATGGGTCAAGAAAACTCCAACCACCATCTGTGACCCATCAAAAAGCAAACCGAGCATGACGGTCATTCACAAAATAAGCACCATTGCAGCCCAGTGACGACGCTTTTTGTCCCTGAGTTTGCTGGAGTGTTGACATGAACTTAACATGAACTGGTTCAACGCGGGCCAGGGCCATCAAGGCTATCTTTTCAACCATGAAGTTTTTTGGGAGTTTGGGTTTAGCTCGTGAATCTTCATTGATGGCGCAAGGCCGCTAAAATTCACACTTCCCTCATAACCAGGAAAGTGGAGCAATCACGATTGGCTCATTCAAGTCTCGTCCTTTCCACGTGACACGTCCCAAGTTATATACTGACAGTCAGTGCAAAAAGCTGTTGCATCATGGAGCAATGTGTCGGCCGATGAAAATCAGATGAAACGCTGCCAGGGAACGCTTCCAGAGCAGGTGGTTCCGGTCTGGCACATGCACACGCCCACCTTCGTTGGAGAAGTCATCACCTCGCTGCAGGAACAGGCCCTGTTCCTAGCCTCCAAAAACCTTCGTTAAGAGCTACGGGTGACAGGGGTCCGATATGGCATGACCCAGGATGCTTATGCTTCTAGTTCTTCAACATTCCCTCAACCACAAGGACCTGAGCAAATCAGTATCAAGTTCCTGCCATAAACCATCAGCATCATAAACCCCTCCATGCCATCCAAGCGGCAGAACCGACGCACCTTGCGGAAAGAAAATGAAAGAACCCCTCAGAAGCTTGTGATCTGAGACTGCTTGAGACAGCTTGAGAGACTGCTTACAATTTCCAACCGGTCCAACTGCTGAATCCGTTGGATGTTTTTGGTATCCGAACCTTGATTGTTCGCTTACCTTTCCAGCTTGTTTTGGTTGCATTTGTTGATCAATATTGATTACATGGCTTTATTTTTTTATAAATGATTTATACTGGTTGTGTTTACATTTAATGTGAGTTTTTTTCCACAGAATGGCTCGACACGAATCCTGTACATCATTCCCAGATCCAAATGCCGAGTTGCTGAGCACTTGCGCCCAGAGACTTTGGGCAAGCTGGCGCACGGGGCAGAATGGAAGGAAGCACAAAGGATTATAAACGTAAGAGATGGTAGCAATTATATAGTAATATAATTGCATATATATATACATACATATAGTAATATATATATACATACGTATAGTAATACAATGATCCAGCCAGTTACATCTAGAGGTCGTCGAGTTGGTGAAGTTCTCACGATCCCTACCAGGCCCTATCAGAATCCATGGGCGGCAACGTGTCTGGCTGCATGACCAACTGGATCCAACTGGTATTGCTGTAGCACAAGAGGATCATCTTTCCCAATGGGAAATATATTGGAAATCCATGATGGGATACTGGGATAATAATGGGATAATAATGGGATAATGATGGGATAGTCAGTTTGAAAATCCAAAGATCCACACGCCCCCACCAAGCCTGAGCCAAACATCGCGAAGGGGTCAGTGGGGCTGCATTTGTCCACAGTCTGCAGAGATTGCTGACCCAAAGTGTGTTTTCTAGTCGCTACTTGACTGCTTGAACCCCTTGAAGCAAGCCTGGAAACGTGTAAGTGATTTCAGTTGGAAGATGACGGTTACTGGCCAAGTGAATTTGCTTGTGCCTACTTGCTGCTAGCTTTCATATGTGCTTCAGAGTTGGCCCTGTCGTTCTTGTACATGCGACTCCTGCTCCCATACCCTTAAAATCCCTTGAAAGGGTTAAAGCTTAACGGGTCTATTAAAGGGATCATTCACTTCTCGTCTTCAATGTACAAGTTACCATCATGTTACCATCATGTCACATGTCACCATCATGTTATGTTGCCATCCTTAAGTGTTAACTCCATCCCCCCAAAGCACAGCCTTGCAGCATGCGCCAGGGTTGGCCAGGCATTCCTTGCTGTTGAGGCCCTCGCCCTGGTTTCCCTGGCGAGACGACCCTTATCGAACTACCCCAGGGGAAATGGTGGAACTCCAAGATATCCAAATTATCCAAGCAAGATATGGATTTGGATATATCATGATATATCCAAATTGTTGCCTGCATTGCCTGCATCACTGAATAAACCGGATGGGGCAAATAGATACAAATTCCTTCAAATTCAAATGAGAAAACTAAAGTTAAACGCTGAACAAAAAGTAAAACATGGCAGACTCAGTGAGGGGAACGCTTTGGGCAGTGACTGCTGCAGAGCTGTGCGACACCGCACCGTCCTTCGCTTCACCTACACCCTGGGCACAGGGTCCCAGGGTCCCAGGGTCCCAGGGTATGGAGGCACCTCCTTGCACATACCGGTGAAGGAAATCATGTCCTGGGCTCGGTGCCGCCTCTGATGAGTTGATGTTGGAAATATGCCAGACATTGCCAGACCTTTTGGGACAGTGGTAGCCACCATAGATGGTCATAGAGTCATCATAGAGTCATCATAGAGTCATCATAGAGTCATCATAGAGTCATCATAGAGTCATCATAGAGTCATAGAGTCTCACAGATTTCGGATCCAGCATTTTTCTGCAAGCTTGACCCGCACATGTACGGCCGCCAACCGTTCAAGACTACTCTCGTTGAGGATTCCAAACATTCCTGAAATCCCATTCCTCGTGATCAAGGGTGCCAATTTACTTTGGCATATTCTAGGAACTTGAAAGGAAAGTAACCAAGTTAGGTTGTATGATAGAAAAAACAAAGGAGGCAATAGTGCAGAAGTTGAATCTCATGTGTAATTTGTACCCTCTCTTTCTCCAATGAGGTACGTGCCGCGCGCCAGTCTGAACATTGAATTCCATCTAGCTGATGTCCCAAACAAAGAAATGTAAACATTTTGGTTGTGGTCTTTGTCAACCAACGATTCAGAACGATAGGAATCCCGTTCTTTGTCAGCATTCTCAATATTCGTGTTGTATGACGCTTGAATTTGGGGTATCCTAAAGTGCAGTTTTGTCCAACAAAAAGAACTCCTGGTGGATCCTGGCTGAGGTCGGGGCGCAGAACATTCCGAACATGTCCTGCCAATAAAACGTCCAGCAGCATACGGTTTCTCTGCTCAGCTACGTATGCCAAGCCTCTGTCTATACTTTAAGCGACCTGCTGTATAGGTCAAGTCCGTCTTGAAAGTGAAGGTTGAACGCCTTTCTGTAGTCTTATTTTTTTTCTTTCTTCCTTCCATCTATACAGTCTATACATCTCATACTATCATTGGCATCCCGAAAATATGGGTGAACCCCCCCAAACTGATCCAAAACTTGCAGGAATGGAGGCCCGTGGAAATCAATATCACCTGAATATACCTGAAATATCATCTGGTTGGTCAAAACATGTCAAAACATGTCTATTGAAGTTGCCGTCCTGACCCTTCTTCTGCCCCCCTTGCTGGTTTGCCATCTGGCCAAACTGTGCGAATGCAGGGACCACGATCAATGCGGCAGCGAAGCGGAACCTGTCGCAGGTTTTTTGTTTGCCGATGGCCGTTGCGCCACCTCTTTGGTGCAGCATTTTGGAGATATGGAATCACTGTGGAATCACTGTGGAATCTGTAATTTGAAAGCTAGTGTTGCGGCATGCTTAAGCTGGAATCTGTCATTTGCCCGGTATTTGCAGTGTGTTCAAGCTGAAATTTGTAATTTGCAAATACTTGCAACATCTTGGAACTATCTGCAGTTTGCAATGCATTTGCAGCATTTTGACACTAGTCACTAGACTCTGTAACTAGCACAATACTGTATTTGTAATGTTTTGAAAATAAAATATGCAGTGTGCATGGTATTTTCAGCATTTTGAAACGAACTGCACATGTCCAGCATTTTTGAGTCTGAATCTCATATTTGTGCTGCGCAATTTTTGAAGCATTTCGCAGCTGGAACTTGTCATGTGGCTAGTATTTGCAGCACTTTGGGATAAAATGTCTTCTCCCGGTTTTGCGCAGTCTTTCTTAGCATTTTTCTTCTCAGTGTTTCCTTTGTTGTTTGCACAATAGCTGCAGCATTCTGGCGATTGGATCTCTCTGCACGCGGTAATTGCAGTGTTTTCTCCGTAACATCATGCTCTGGTGGCAGTACTCTGGAAGGGAGAAATGCAAATGTCATGGTGCAGCAGGAAGCTTATGCTTTTGCGATTCTTCTTGTCTTCCTATCCTCGTTGTTCTTCTAAGCGTTGTCGTTCTTGCTGTTGCTGCTGTTGTTGCTTTTTGTCACTGTTGCCACGATATTGTTGTGGAAGCCAAGAAGAAATCACAACGAAGCCACAGTGAAGCTGAGGAGCTTTGAGCTAACATGACATGCCACGACCCTGAGCTTCCAACATCTTGAAAGATGAAGGCCTCAAAATGGGCGGCTTCCCTAGCTTCACCATTTGCAGTCGTGAATTTAGAGCTCCCTCATGCTGCCTCCTGGAGGTATCACCACTACAAATTCACAGTGGGATTGGGGGCAAACCTCTACATGGCTGCTTCCAAAACATCACCAGTTTACATCAGTTTACTAGCAAAGTTGGGCTAACGCCTCGATGTTTGTGAACACAGGTTTGTCAGCTAACAGACTCAGGTATCTAAATCGTCTTCTATGGTTTGGACCCATTCCATTCTACCTTCCATCACCCATCTCCAAAGCACATTCTAGGTTTTTGCCTCTGTGTCCATCTGATGAAATGGGTTTGTCTCAAAATAGAGTATCCATTCCAACCACTGGTTAATCAGCATGTCCCCGATTATTTGATGGCCATAACAGGGCTGATATCCCATTTTTGAGAAGCACCCAAATCTGTGCTGGCGAGGATCTGTTGGCACAACTGATTTGCAAGTCGCAAGTTGGCGGGTTTGAGCTTTGGTGGCAAGAAAACAAGGCACTTTCAAGCCAGATCCACATCTTGTAACACCGTCCCAAGCTATAAAAACTGTACAAATATACAGTACAATAAATATGACAATATATGACAATATGCCATGATATCTGATTATCTGCATGTGTCCAGAAATGTCCTATCATAAAATATATACCGGATAATCTGCACAGGTCCCAAATCTAAAGCGCTGTCCAGCGGCTGGTCAGGACAGGCTGCAGCCCTCACCTCAGCACTGCAATCCCAAAGCCTGGAAGGGCTTTCCATTGGCCGCCCTGGCCACCAGCTTGGTGGCCCGCCTGGCACGAGGATCTAAGCCTAGGCTTAGATAGGCTGCTGGATAGGCTTAGATATGCTGAAATAGGCTTGATTTTTGGTTAGAAAATCTGTGGAGATCTCCAGTGTGAGGGTAGTCATACAGTGATTCTATCCCCGCTTCCACCCTGTGCACCAACCTTTTTCCGACCAACGCACTGCCAAACGGATCCTTTGCACTTGGCAGGTGGTGTCTCGCGTTGTCCCCCAGCATGCTTGGTGATGCACCGGTGCTGGCCTATGGGTTTCCTATAAAAGCTGCAAGAGACGCTCCATTTTTGGGATGGTTTATCTATTAGAATTTGTGGCAACGTCTGCGCCACTCCAAGAGACAACACATGAGTCCCTGATATGCAGCTTGAAGTGAAGTTCCTGTACCCAATTTGAAGGAAGCTACTCAGAAAGGTATGTTCTGCTTTTGGCGACACTCATCGGGATTGGACTGTGTGCCTCTTGAAAATTCTGAAAGAGATCCTGCAGTTTCCGAATCCTGTGCCAAAGGGCAAGTTGGACCTGCTCAGTGGTTTGCTGACTATGTTGAATGACGTTGAATGTTGGCCAATGTTGGCAAAATCAACACCAGATTGTGTCGCATTCTCCTTGACTTTTGTACACTTGTGTCTTCATCACAACCAACACCACCCCAGAAGAAGTATCTGCTCTGCCGCAGGGGGAAAACAGGCGTCCGGGAAGTAGCTGATGGAGAGATGAGTTTTCACCCTCGATTCCCGATATTTGGAAAATGCCACGCCAATGACACGACCTTCGCAGCAGACTGGTGACATTGTTGGAATAGGGATCGTTGATGATCTTACGAAAAAGAAAACTTGGTGCAAGCATCACTGTTCCGTTTGATGCTTGTTTCTCAGTCGTCAAACTGGGAACGGGTCAGGGAGATGCTCCCAACAGCCAAGTGTGAAGCGTCAATGGTTGACCATATGAAAAGTGTAGCATCATGTAGCATCTGTTTGAACAAAAATGACAAAGTAGGAAAACTCAGGGAATGTCAGTGCAAGGTCTCCAGTATCTAATCTAAGTCTTGAAATCTGAGGTCCTCAGTATGGATCGCTATGTAGGCTATGGGGTATGCCTTTCCGTCTTTGGAGGTGATCAGCACCGACTCTTTTGGAAAACGGGCTGCAACTGCAGCCGGTCAAAGTGTTGGATATGTGTTTAGTTTCCTGTGGCGAGCATGGAGCACTCAAAAGTACTGCATGTTGCGGTAGGGTTCTATATATTATATATCTTTGTTCATCCTTTCCTTTACCACTCTGCAGCGAAGGGCCTCCGGAATCTGCATTGTCGAACCATTTTGCTGAAAAGTTGCAAGGCAGGACAGCCCTGGTGAACGAGTCACCGTAGTGCTCGAAATGTACTCTAGTCCCAGGAAAGAAAGGTGGCTTGGAAATACTTTGGAGTCTTCCCATGTTTTCCCTTAACCTGCCATAGAATATATGATATGGAATGCTCGGTGTCTGGGAGTGGCTCAGGAGAAATGAAGTGGATCATGACATGAAAACTTACTGCAAGCGGCTTCAGCTTCACCAGAAACTGCCGGCGAAGCAACTTGCCTTCGAATCTGCAAAAAACTGGGCAAGAAACAGATCAGCCTCGGAAAAGGTGACAGGTCCTCGCTTCCTGAACAATGCCTGACTTGAAGATAGTATCATCATGCCTCCAGAGTTTCCAGAGTCATTTGGCAGTGTGTCAAAACCAATAGTACCCCTGGTGAACATCAAAATAGCTGGGATTTATGGATGTGAATAACCCCCTAAAAATGGTATTAATAGGTATTGATCCATACCCATTTCACATTGACATGCAGTGATCTCATCTATTGATGATACATAGCTGTCGTCAGGCTGATCTCATTTCTTTTCGCCGTGGTCACGCCTCGTTTTGAGGCGCGGCCCCGAGACTTGTTCATCTCCAGGGGTTAGGTGCACCAGCGCAACCAGCAGGGGCAACATCACACCTGCCTCGGTAGCTGTGGCATCATCTCGCACCCTCCACTGTCTGGCAGCCTTTCAGCAGGTGTTCAGTCCGTCCGATTAGTCTCAACGGGAGACCCACGGTTCCAAATAAACAAAGTGCCATCTTTCAATAGATTGACACACTCATACTGTAACTAGTCCATGTCCTGAATCATTACAACCTGCTGCAGGAAGACACCCAGTGCGCCTTGCCATCTGGGTGCTATCCTGGTAGAGGATGTGATCGAGGATACCATGAAGTAGGGATATGTATTGTAACTTGTTTGGTCACAAGGTCCAGAGATTCCAACCTTGGGATCAGTTTCGAAGATGAATGAGTTATTTTTGTTCATTACTTGAACAACACTTGTAAATATGTAAGTTGAAGGGTAAGTTAGAAGTTGGAGAGGGAACACTTCCGTGCAGGAGATAGATTCTGCCACGGAAGTTAAAGGGTTTGCTTTGTAGGTGCACTATGGTGCACTAACCCAGAACGTCTACCAGTACCAACAGAATTGGCGAGTGGATGCGTTTTGCTCCGGTTGCCAAGTTAAGGGGTTGGGGATGCCCGATCTTCAAGCAGAGATTCCATGCAATAATTGTGACTGGTTCATCACTCCAAGGATCCACTCAGTTCAGGGAAATAGAAGAAACTCCTGAGTTCATTCTGCATCCCTGGCAAACCGCTTAGCTCAGTGCAGTTTGCCCATGTTCATGTTCAGAAATCTCTTGGTACTGGTCATATTCTGGTCATGTTTTTAACCCAAAATCCCACAAATCAGCTCACCCAACGTAGCTCTCCTCACATGCGCTCGAAGCGACTCAGAGGTGCGTCGGCCTAGTTTGATGTCCAAGTCAGGTCCTCAAAAAACTGGAAGGTATTACTTTGTACTAAAATTGACTACTGGTTGTGATGAACCTTTAAGAATCTTTAAGACCTGAATTTTTTGACCCTATGTATACTATGTATCATGCTCTGTGAAATGCTATGGTCATTTTGGAAGACAACCGAAACCAACAGAAAAACATAGAAAAACTCAAAACGGAAACCCGAGTTACGTCCTGCAATGTATTCCTTCACCCCATCCAAACAGACTTCCGGCCAGGGCTCGAACCTGGATCCTGCGGCCGATGCTCAACAGCGATGTGTGCCACTCGCATGGCTGCAAACGGACCGTATCTGTCTGCCTGTGACTGTCTATCTATCTGTCTGTCTGTCCGTCTGTCTGTCGGTCTGTCCGTCGGTCTGTCTGGCTATCTGTCTATCTATCTACATGATTCTACGGTGTGTGTATATATAATACAAATAAATAAATGAATAAAGAAATAACTACATTAATTAATTCATTAATGAAAACATCAGTAATAAAGTTAATAAATAAATTAATGAATCAATAATTCAACAAATAAACAGATGTATATATATTTATAATATATATATATATTCATATTTCTATATAGTATATTTCATTGTACCAATTTGATCTTCACTTTTGGCGACACACATACCCCATCCCAGGGCCTTGGGCGACAAAATCAGCTCCTTGGGCTGCAAAGCGAAGCCCATCTCCTGCGCGGAAAAATAACTAGATTTAGGGGATGCCATGGGAATGTTATGGAAATGTTATGGAAATGTCATGGGAATGTGTTGTGATATGTTCATGGTATTTCATGGTATTTCATGGTTGTGTTTGGTAGATTTTGGTATGCAGTGGAGTATGTTATAGTAATTAGTTATAGATTCTTATAGTTATAGTAATCATACACACAGACGCCGTGTGTTGCCCAGACATTAGCATTGAGGATGTCGCGTTGTCGAATATGATAGGAGAGATTGCAGAAAATACTGCACATACGCAGTGTTTTCTGGTTTAGGATTCAGAGTTTTCAGGGTTTACGTTTTAGGGTTTAAGGTTTTAGGGTTTTAGGGTTTAGGGTGCGTCGTCTGGGAAATCTCAAGACACTGGCCCTGCGCAGGTGTTTCAGCATGTTGAAGGATAATGCTTAAACGCCATTTGAATTTCGCGCCTGGCCGTAATTATATGTAATTTAGATAGTTATCTCACAGATAGTAATTAATAGTAATCAATAGTATGTCGATGTATGTCGTATGGCATGTCTCTACGTTGTACTTCGCTGTGTCCCTCTACATTCTGGTCTTCCTCGCCCGAGGCAACCATCTGAGCATGTGGAGGTAAGATTTCAATAGATTAAAATAGATTTCAA